AAAGATGCCAGTGCTGTATTATTTAGAACACTGTGGTTCTGCAACAATTCTCAGCTCAAGGCAACCTGAGAACAGTTGTGACCTTTCATGACTTTGGAAAAAGTATGCTAAATTTCTGTACTCCTCCCAGCTACACCCTCAGAATGCCAAATTACACACTTGGAAGTAAAAAAAACTAAAAACCACTCCTGCATTTTTTCTGGTTTTGTGGAAAATAACTCAGTTCTTTGTACTTATCTTTTTACTGCAGGTTCCACAGCTTGTAGCTTGTTTCTTTCAATGTATTTGCTGCAACTTGCTCACCAATAAACATCCAGGGAAACACTGGATATTATTTTAAAAAATCATGCAACCACCATCCTTCAGCTCCTTCAACTTCCACCCTTCCTATTTATACTTGCCAGTTTGCTTGTACCTACTGTGGCTACTTTAAACCCTTTTTACCTTGTTACCTCCTATGGGCATTCCTCCCTCCTTAGCTACACACCCACCGAGTTCTGCTTCTACACATACTCACTATTACAGTAACATGAGCAAGGACACACAGAGGTAACCCTTTCATTCAGCAACACAAAAGTAGTATTCTAGGACTCCAGCCTAAACAACTTTCTCTCTCTCAATAACCAGTATATGTGATAGAGATTATAGAAGACCATTAGTGGCATAAGGCCAAATCAGGTATTTAATGTTCTCAAATTCTTGTATTATGAAAAATTAAACTAAAAATGTGTCTTACACAATAATTAAGACAACTTATTGCAGACAAGTATTGAACATGTAAAAAATTTACACAGACTCAAAAAAGGACAAATTCACAGAAGACATTCATCAAGGATTATTAAACATATATAAAAAAATCCCACTTCTGGCTCAGAAAGAGATGAGCTGCAGATCACTGAATGGTGGGAAAAGAATCCGAGTAGATTTTTCTTGTATGCCTCACCTGCAGTCAGCATCAGACAAGGTCAGAAACAACTTTGACTCATATTCACAGAACCATAGAATGTTTTGGGTCAGAAGGGACCTTTAAAAATCATCTAGTTCCAACCTCTTTGCCATGGGCAGGGTCATCATCCACCACATCAGGTTGCTCAAAGCCCCACCCAACCTGGCCAACCCAGGGATGGGGCATCCACAGCTTCTCTGGGCAACCTGTTCTAGCATATCACCACCTTCACAGTAAAGAATTTCTCTCTTATGTTCAATCTAAACCTACTCTTTTTCAGTTTAAAACTACTGCCCCTTGCCCTGTGACTACATGAAGGCCTTGGTAACAAGTCTCTCTCAGACTTTCTTATGAGCTCCCTTTGTATACTGAAAGGCTGCAATAAGGTGTCCCCAGAGCCTTCTCTTCACTAGTCTGAGCAACCCCAATTCTCTCAGCCTTTCTTCACAGGGCACGTGTTCCAGCCCTTTTTTATGTTGGGGCCCCCAGAACCGGACACAGTACTACAGAAGGGAGAAGAGGGAAAGAATTACATCCCTCAATCTGCTGGCCACTCTTTATGCAGCCCAGGATATGGTTGGCTTTCTGGGCTGCACCTGCACATTGCCAGCTCATATCCCATTTTTCACCTACCAATATCCCCAAGTCTTTCTCTGCAGGGCTGCTCTCAACCCCTTCATCCTCCAACCTGTATTGATACCAGAGGTTGCCCCAACACAGGTGCAGGACCTCGAACTTGGCCTTGTTGGCATTTCATGAGGTTCACACTGGCCCACTTCTCAAGCTTGTCAAGGTCCCTCTGGCATCCCATCCTTCAAGTGCACCAACTGCACCACTCAGCTTGGTGTCATCTGCAAACTTGCTGAGGGTGCACTCAATCCCATTATGTCATTAATAATAACAATGCTCTGCCCTGCTTTTTGACCACACAAAAACTACAATCGAAAGTGTGCTACTTACCAAGAGCAATGTTAGAGTACTTAACTGAAAAGCACAGCAAAAGCACTGACATACACGTCTTCATCTTGCTTGGTTTACAGTAGAGCCTGCATACCTTGGGACCAGAGACTTCAGGTAACAAAAGTTATAAAAAGCAGGCCAAAATATACTATCTACTTAAAGATTTTAATATATTTTCTTCCCAATGTGAAATTTGTCTCTTTTGGAATTTAGAATCCACTTGACAAAAGGAAAAAAACAAAAAACAACCAACAACAAAATACCCCAAAACCAAACAAAATCTTTCCCGGAATAGTGCTATAGCTTAGCATTTCCATAACAATTTTAAGCTAAGAATATTTATTTATTTAGAGTTCTATTGCTTTACTAGCCCATTTACTACTGAAAAACTACCTAAACCTAAACTACCCCATTGTAGAAACAACTAAGAAAATCAATGTTCATGAAACAGAAATACAATACAATTAAAAGAGCAGGTATTTAATACATGTACTTATTGTGATTTTTTTTCCCCCTGAAACTCAGCTGGCTTGATTGGTTTGGCTTGGTTGAAGGCCAAAGTAACTTTTTGTTTCCTGACAAAGTTAGAGTACCTTAATCAATGCACCATATGAGTCCTTCACTCAGTCTTTTCCCTGACACTTTCTGGACATCCTCCATACGGCTCATTTCTAACACCTACTACTGCTCATTTGTAGTGAATGATCCACTTCTGGAGAGTTCGATTAATGTAGAAAAGAGTTCACACAGACAAGCTTAGGTACTGCAAAAAAAGAATGGAAATATCATTCTGCAGATGTTGAGGTAACAGAGCAGTTTATTTTTAAAAGGTTTCCTGTAACAATAGTAGCAAAAAAAAAATCAAATATAAAGCAGCAAATCTGAGAAGTTAATAGCTCTGATCAAGACAGCTTATTCCTTATAAGTGGCATGCAAAATTTCGATTTTAGTATGTTCGTAATTTTCTATTTCATAACCATTCTTTCCTTGAATACTTAATATATCATTAAGGACTGCACATCACACTCTTCACTCTTCTTTCTATGCTACCACATCTCCCATTCCTGGAGTGTAGCATCAAGAAGTTTCACAGGAGGGGAGAGATGAGTAAGAGAAGGAAATTATAACTAATCTCTCATATTCCCAAAGTTTGTTCTTTCACCATAACCTCAAGCCTTGGGGAACAGAAATAGTACCTTACATACAAAGGAATGGAGAAAAGGCTGGAGGATTCACTGCTGCTAGCACAGAAATAAAAGTGGTACGGAAACAGCTGTAAGGCCTATGAGGGGTGGAGGTGGGGGGGCACAGAGGGAGGAGGTGGAAGGGAATTCAATGGCCACAACAAAGCTTAAGTTGAGTTAACATATGAACCCTGTATGACTAAGGCTTGGCTTCTTCAGGACCACACCTGTGACTCATTCCCCTTTTTTCATCCTCAGTTACAAATTGCAATCGCTTTATTTTCCAAAGGGCATCACATGAGAGCAGAGGTGCAGTTAATATAACAGAGCAAAATGATATTCAGAATCTCTTGTTCTAATACCTATCAGTGTGTACTAAACCGTTGTACACCATTAGCAGCCAAGAAGAAAACTGCATACAGACGCTTCTACCTGCACCCTCAGATCTAGGCTGTTCCCAAAGCAGGCTTCCTATGAAGAGTCTCCCACCAAAGCAGGAACTTCTGCTTAACAACAGTAGTCAACCAGCACCTTCCCATCAAGAAAAAGTTTTTCTGAGGCAAATTGGACTGCAAGATACTGTAGCAGCTGCCCAGCTCCTGCTAGCTGAAACTTCTATTTTGAACTATTACAGCTAAACATAAAGTCAATATTTTAATTCTGATTACCCAGATCAATGCTTCTGTAACTCTCCTTAAGTAAGCCAGGTTTAGTGCACCCAACCCAGCTCTTAGTATTTCAACATGCTATCAAGTGCTGAATAGTACCACAGCAGATGAAATTCAGCCGGTGGCAAATTTCTTATTATCAAACTATACGTAGTCTCTTAAAAAAATGTTACAAATAAAGGGAACAATCCTTTGCCTAGTTAAACATTTCCCATATTAACATAGTATTATATAAAAAAACCCACACAGAATCAAGACGATACTAACATTTGTCTATGCAGATTGGACAGCATTTAAACATGAGGGTTTTTATTACAGTTTTATACTAATAAACTGTGTCTATAGTCAGGTTGCTGTTAAGACAATGAGTTTATTGTAATTACTACAGCAGATTACTTTTACATGTATAAAATAAAACCAAGCTAATGTACACAGTTATCAAACTGGCAGAGAGAACCCCTAAATCAACGTTTATCTGAAAGGTTAAGTTTGCAAATTTTACATATAGAGTTGCCCTTATGGGATACTGCAGAGACCTTACACAGAATTTACTTCAGAACCAAGCTTTGTTATCCAGCCCAGAGCCTTTTAATAACTCCTTTCCCAACTATTAGACCAGCATAACCAAACAGGCATTTCATAATGTATATCAAAAGTTCATCAGCAAGTACTGAGGTACAGTTACCAGTTGTTTTAATTTTTTTAAAAAGACAAGTCACAGGAACCATGCTGTGTGCAAGTTCCCTACAAGTTTTAAGGGAACAAATTCAGGAGCAAATGCAGAATACAACAAATAGTTCCATACAAATGCCTGCAGTAACACAAGGTATCCCAGTTCACACCCTGTCACTTTCCTCATCCTACATCCTGAATGCAGAGATTAGGAATGCTGCCTGGTTGGAAAAAGCTTTTTGTTCTTCTTTAAACATATCAATGCTCTAACAGTAAATTCTCATGTTCACTCCTGAAACCTATGAGTTTTAATAAGGATTATTTAAGGATAGTTCATCCAATACAAACAGTTTCATTTCAATTGACGCAACTGGTTAGCTTAACGTTTAGAGGAAGTTTCGGCTATTTTAAAAATGGAATTTTAGTGATAAGTATGTGTTTCCTCAGTTACGGGTTTAACATTTATTACAGAAAATCCTGAAAAAAGTATTATTTTAAAACTGTCTGGTATTCTTGAAAAGATTAAAAAATCCAAACAAAACAAACCCAAAACTTTGTCAGGCCACTTACCCGCAACACTGGTAATGGTAACAGGAACTCCTTGAACTTGAACACCTGCAGCACCCAGGTTGGCAACACTTACTGTTTGAAGATTAGGTACTGAAGCAAGCTGGGCAGCGTTCAGAGCGATGGGGGTACCAGCAACAGCCACCGGTGCAATCTGGGCAATGGTTGTGCCACCACTTGAAGACACAGGGGTAATGGTTAGCTGTTGGGGTAACCCAGCATTTTGAACTTGCAGATTCGAAAGGCTTTGCAGATTCTGAACCTGTACAGTTTGCCAGCTGATCTGCCCGGATGGTGTTAAAGTCGGAGCCCTGATGAGCACCTGAGTTGGACTCACTGCCTGCAGCTGAACATTCTGCAAAGGCTGTTGCTGGATGGTCTGTATAGTCTGCCCTGACTGTAGCTGAAATGACTGTGGAGGAATGGCCTGAATAATCTGCTGTTGAGGCTGCTGGATCTGGATCTGCTGTAGGATAGGCTGACCGACAATTTGGACCTGCTGAAGGGAACCAGACTGATCCTGGACATTCTGTAGTCCATTGGACTGAAGCTGACTGGAACTCTGGGCTTCAGAGTCTGTAGCAGTCGTCTGAGGTTCTTCAGGTGCCTGCTCTGAACTGCTGCCTGCTGTGCTTGTGTACTGGCCTGTTTCTGCAGAGCTCACTAGTGTGTCACTGCTGGTTAGAGATGTTGAGGCAGTGGTTGTAGAGGTGGAAGATGAGGAAGGAGACTCCGGCATCGTACTAACAGAGGCAGAAGTCACAGGCGTAGATGCTAGCTGATTTCCATTGGAAACTCCAGCCTCAGTAGACTGGCCAACTTGACCCGAGCCTCCTCCAGCTGCCACGTTGTTTATCACAGGCAATGCCAGGGTTACCCCACCAATGTTTATAGGTAATGTTGTTACAACTTGTGCCTGAGTACCAGGAATAGTCTGCAGTTGCAGTGGTATGGAAACACCAGGCCTAATTTGGACTGGAACTGTCTGATTTGCTAGGTTTTGAGCAATAACGTTCCCCGAAGCTGTCCTATTTGCAGCTGTGAGGATAGCTTGATTATTCCCTGCAGGAATGAGCTGAATTTGACCCTGTATGTCTTGAAGACCAGTAGTATTAGATGGATTGATTTGAAGTTGTTGACCTTCTGTTGTCTGAATCTGTGGGATCACTTGGTATTGGACACTACCACTTGGATTTTGTACTTGAATGACTTGAAATTGTCCAGGGCTTGTTGCAGAAGAATTGCTTGATTTGGTTTTTGAAGGGGACGTACTTCCATTGTTACTGCTGGAGGGACTTGCTGCACTAGAGGCAGCAGAAGATCCTTGTTGAGCAACACTGTTTTCTTTTGAAGCAGGAGGAGCAGTGGCAACAAGCTGCCAAGCGTTTCCAGCAAGCTGACTTGTTACCAATTCTAACTGTTGTGGCTGACTCTGAAGCTGCACCAAACCTTGATTTGGATCTATAATAATCTGCTGCTGTCCAGTTCCTTGATTCTCACCAGGAGTTCCTATTTTGCTGCAAGTGGCTGCTAGCAAAGCAAGAGGCGAAGGCTGAGAATCCTATCCATAAAGAAAGGAAACAGAACAGATTCAGAAGAGCATGAGAATGAACCATCAGAAGTTAAGCATTAAGGTTTACACAGGAAGCAGACAAAAAAACCTGCTTCTACACAGAGACTGATGATACAGCTCTGAACAAGGAAGTATATATTTCTGCAAATAATCTTTAAACATAAAGCCCCCAATTATCAATGGGTACGTGACAGCCAGGACCTCAACCACATCCTCAATCCAGTTTCCCCCCAACCCTTTAAAATAAAGAAAAATTTAAAAAGCACTTCTATTACGTAGTAAGCAGCTGTTCACTACAAAATGCAACCAAAAAATATGTCCAGGCAGCAAAAATATTGCAACCAACCCACTATGTTTCATCCAACCCAAAGAAAGATGCCCTGAGCAGGAAATGCTGTTAGCTGAATGTTTCATTTTAAATGCTAATAGCTTGGGCACTTCCCTATTCGGGGGTGTGTGCTTTACCTGTGAGCCTCCAGTTTTCCCTTTTTTATTATTATTGTTGTTATTCTCTGCCTCGGGAGATTTCTCTCCCTCTGTGGGCATAGTTTCCTCCTTCTTTTGATCTGCAAAAATATCAAGTGTAACAGGTTAATTATTCAACTTCATTTAGACAATAATAAAACCTACAAGCACATCCTTTTTGGTTCCCAGCTTGTCGCCTTTACCTCTTCATAAAAACAACAGTGCAAACCATTATTACAAAAGAACGAGTCCTAAGAAACGTGGTTTGAAACCCAACCCATGGGGGCTGGAGAGTTAACACCCAGAAAGGGGAGGTTTGGTTTCCTCTCCCAGAGACAGCAGGAAAAAACCACCCACAACCCTCCTCCTCCTCCTGCCCCCTAAAGCATCGACGGCCACTGAGTGGCCCATAAAAACAACAGTGCAAACCATTATTACAAAAGAACGAGTCCTAAGAAACGTGGTTTGAAACCCAACCCATGGGGGCTGGAGAGTTAACACCCAGAAAGGGGAGGTTTGGTTTCCTCTCCCAGAGACAGCAGGAAAAAACCACCCACAACCCTCCTCCTCCTCCTGCCCCCTAAAGCATCGACGGCCACTGAGTGGCCCGCGA